ATGCTACGTCATCGATTCGTACTGGTCGCCTCGTTCCGAACCCGTTAACCGAAAGCGAACTTAACGAACTCATTTCTCGTGGCCTACTCCAATTTTGCCGCGCCGTTTTGCCCGACAGACGGTTCTGTTTTTTTTTTGACACGTTATCTGCGTTAACCGCGTATCTTGTGAAGGTGATTCCAGATAAAAGATTCTTTTTGCTAAGTAATATTTATATCGAAAATTTTTAAAATAATACAATAAATAGTTTTTCAACCTGTAATATGGTTGCGTTATGTTGATGATATTTGTGCAATATGGCAACATCTGAAATATACATTTTATTGGATTATATAAATTCTCGCGAACCAACTAAAAAACCTAACCGTTAGCCATTTCTTGATGTTTTAGTGTCAAACTTTCAAAATAAAGTAATTTTAGATGTTTACAAAAAAAACAATTTTTCCACATCTAAACACAGTATAAGTGTAAAAAAGTGTTATAAAAAGTTTATATGATAGGACAAAAATAATATTATGTTCAGACGACAATTCACTAGAGATATAAAAATATATATTATTAAAAACAACTATCCACCATCTTTTGTTGCCAAACATTAAACGAAATACAAACCCCAAATCAGAGACAGAATACACACAATGATAACAATACACAATATATACAACTTACAATTCCATGCATACGAGGCGTTTCGGAAAAATAAGAAGGATAGAAAAGCAATATAACATACGAACATCTTTCAAAACACAAAATACACTTAGATCCATTTTAACATACACTAAAGCAATGAATACTGAACAACAAACAAATAATGTAATACACAAAATATCATGTGAACGCGATAAGTTTTATATCGGTGTAGTATCTAGACCCTTAAATTTTCGAATTAAATAACATAAAGATTATTTTATGTTATATAGCTAAAATGGATACTTGGCTAGTTTTCAAACTAGCCAGCTGTTTTGCAAACAAACAGCACAAACAACACCACAAGCTAACACCTAACCCTCAAAATAACAGTGATTTTTGCAAAAAAGCTAGCTAGTTTGAAGAGCCAAGTATCCTATATCCTATACTTGGCTAGTATCCTAATAGATACTAGTATCCATTTTAGCCGTAGCATATACAATGAGTTGATATTGATACAACATGGAAAATTGATTCTGAATATTAGGAAATGACAGTAAATTCACAATTTAGTATGGATTTATTGGAGAGATGAACAGGCGATAGAGATAAAAACTTTTTATATTACTTTAGACGCGGCGGCGGCGGCGGCGGCGGCGCGGCGCGGCGGTTACATTGAATACACTGATTCGTATTAGTACGAAAATTGACAGTGACTAATAAAAATTCATTCTAATTAACAAATGTGGCATTAAAATTTACCAGAGGTGCGATTACTGCTATATTAAGATGAGAGAAAAAGTATCATTTAAAAATTTAATTTGTGATTTCTCTAAGTTCGACTGTGTAAATCATTATATATTAATTAACAAATTATAGGTCATATCTTGGCAACATATCTTGGCAGCTTGTGAGGATTGATACGTCTATGTTTTCTTGTAAGCCTATAGAATGTGGTGTCCCTCAGGGTTCAGTACTTGGCCCTATTTTGTTTCATTGAAAATCTAGATATTAGCGGTAAAATCTGCCTCTTTGCGGACGATACTAGTTTCACTTGGAGCGACCCAGATGTTACGGCACTATACAGGGTTGTTCACCACATACGACACGGAATATTGTAGCTAAACGATTAGATTTTTACAAATTGTAAGTTTTGGGTTCGTTGAAGGACTATTAGAGCTACAATTTAAAAATACTTTTACAAGATACAGAGTGTCCCAAATAAATAAAAAATATCAAAGTTGTATTTTTTTAAATGGAACACCCTGTATATTATTACATTTTTAGTTTCTACGATTAAAATAAAGGTAAATTTGATTAAGGTTTATTACATCTTCTAAACCTTGCGTTTTTGAAATATTTTCAATTTTGTGAATTGCAGTATAAATTTTAAGGCTTCATTTCTCCGAGGGTATCAAAATTTTTAATACTAAATATTTACTGAAGTTTATTTATTGATCAGTTATTGTGTTGCAATAATAAAAATTTTACTACCTTATACAGACAGAGTAGCTAAATATTTATTTTAAATAATTATTAGCTTTAAACGGCAATAACTGGTTTAATTTAAATGGAACACCCTGTATATTTTATGAGAATCAGATGTACAATTTAATTGTCTATCAAATTGTATTATGCCATTTTTTACCTATCTCTTCAAGTTTCCGTAGAAAATGCATTTTCTTGTAATTTAGAACTCATTTATCAATATACCCAGGGAATACTGACATTTTAGATTATTTTTAAACATGTACCAAATTTTTAAAGAGTACAGATACTAATATTGTCGATATAGTTCGTTTATTTCATTAAAAAATAAAAAAAACTGTTTAAATATTTGTTAAAGAGGACCAATTAATATGATTCCAGTATTCAAACTACATTAATTGACTTTTTGCGTTGATAAATAATAATTGCTCCAAATACTAAAAAACTGAATTATGTATGTGTATTAGACAGTGTAGTAAAAAAACTAACACCTTAAAACTGATATTTCATTTTTTGAAAAATGCTTATTTATAACAGAGACGTTCATTTTCATAACTTATTATTATATTGATTTCTGATTCAAATCCACATTTATTTAGAATAATTTATTAACAAACCCAATTAAGTTTGTAATTAATTAGTATTTGGGCGGAAATACTGGTGGTATATTTAATTAATGGTATACTTTTTATAAAGATTTAAATAGTTTTCTTTTTAGTCATAGTAATATTAGTAGTATTTTTATCGTTTTACTAAAAACGATAATATTACTAGCCTGTACATTTTGTACATTTGTTGTTTTAAAAAAATCTAAAATGTCAATATTCCATGGGTATATTGATAAATGAGGTCTAAATTGTAAGAAAATGCATTTTCTATGAAAACTTGAAGGGATAGTTAAAAAGTGGTCTAATACAATTTGATAGACAATTAAATTGTGCATCTGATTCTTATAAAATATATAGGGTGTTCCATTTAAATTAAACAAGTTATTGCCGTTTAAAGCTAGTACTTATTTAAAATAAATTTTTAGACACTCTGTATAAGGTAGTATAATTTTTATTATTGCAACATATTAACTGATCAATAAATAAACTGCAGTAAATATTTAGTAATAAAAAATTTAAAAGCCTTAAAAAATGTATACTGCAATTTCACAAAATTGAAAATAGTTCATAAACGGTAAGGTTTAAGTGTAATAAACCTTAATTAAATTTACCTTTATTTTAATCGTAGAAACTAAAAATGCACTAATATACAGGGTATTCCATTTAAAAAAATACAACTTTGATATTTTTTATTTATTTGGGACACTCTGTATCTTGTAAAAATATTTTTAAATTGTAGCTCTAATAGTCCTTCAACGAACCCAAAACTTACAATTTGTAGAAATCTAATCGTTTAGCTACAATACTCCGTGTCGTATGTGGTGAACAACCCTGTATAATACTATATCCAGTGACTTACCCACCATTAAATCTTTGTGCGATTCTAATCTCCTATTCCTCAACTTTCAAAAACTAAAGTTTTGTCGATGAAGCTGTTTTGGCTTTTTGTACAATAAAGCGTTGTTTTTTTTGTATTTTTTTAATTATTTTTTTTTCCTTTGTTTCAGAACAAAATGGTGAGGTGACATTAAAGAAACGCCGCCATCGACAAAGACAGACAACCAGCGCGCCGAATGAAAACAATGAAATATCCCAACCTATCTGGATGCAACATGGCAGTTAGCGGCAGCAATTCAGTGGACGAGGTCGATTCCATGTTCACGTCACCGTGCTGGCAAAACTCGAACGACACCTTCATCGACACCAACAAGCTCATTCTAGAGAACACCATCAGCAATCTCGGTTCCGACAAACTCCTACTAGACTCCTCCATCCAAGATGAAGCGGAAATCGAAACTAAATCGACGATGGAAGCGCTGGACAACCTCCTGCTCAGCTCGTCGCAGACGCTCAGTCTGGCCGAATTGAAACCCCTGCCGCCTTTCACGGGCTACACGGCCAACCTGAGCATCAACGGCATTCAAGGGCATCACTACCACACGATATCGCAAAGGATTCCCGAGGAGAATAACAATTACAGCAATTACAGCGAACAAAACATCGTTTCTAGTTCGACTTGCAATATAAACGCGGACTCGGCCGGAGAGAAGAGTTTGTATTCGGTGGACGAAGTGGTGAAATTGGGTTACGCGGACTGTGTCAGCGCCGATTCGGTTTCTAGCGCGATCAAATACGAGGACTGCGGCCACTCGACGGTAGACTCGGCCACGCAAATCAAGACCGAGATCTCCGAGTACGACATTTCATCGATCGATGACATCGCCGCGATCATCGGATCGGCCATAGCCGACACCACCGTTCCTAACAACAATACGGACGATGACGATCCCAACGCCTCCAGGGACAGCTGGATGGACCTGGATGCGTGGATCAGCGGGGCGTGCAGCGACCAGCAAAAAAGCGTCGTCATCAGCCAGGACGGCATTTCAGAGTTCCTCATTCCGAACAACAGTAACGATTACACCAAGTCTCAATCGATAAACGAGTACAATAACAAAGCTCAATCCCCTCAAGGCGGTTCGACTTTGCAAAGTCTCCTCACTCACGGGAACATGCCGTTACTGCAGTACAGGCTCCAAAACGGACCTCCAGTTAAACAAGAAACCCCCAGTTCGACGAATTACAGTGCAGAGCTAATCACGACGTCCAGTCCACCGGCAAACGTTGTTTCAACGACGGACAATCTTCTCTTAACGGTGAACGGGAGATTTATGCCCCAGTACAGCGTGCACACAATGCACGACGATCACAGGATACGAAGTCCGGAACTGCTTGGGCAGAACTATCCTCACACGACGACCACGACGCCCAGTACGACGAAGAAGTCGCGGAGGGCGCAGAAAAAGCAACAGGCTGCGGCGAATGCCGCGGTGTTCTCTACCGATCAGACGCTGGGGCTGTTGGGTAAAGAGAAACCTGTACATAGGTGTAGTATTTGTAATCGAGGGTTCCTGAACAAGAGCAATATCAAGGTTCATCTGAGAACGCACACGGGCGAGAAGCCGTTCCGATGCGACACTTGCGCGAAGGCCTTTAGACAGAAAGCACATTTGTTGAAGCACCAGCAGATACATAAAAGAATTGGCAGAGATTAGATGAAATTGATAGGAGCGGAATTTTTAGATCGAATGTTTTCAGAAAAAAAAATAAAAATGTAGTCATAAAACGCTAAATTCTTATTGGAGAAACAGAATAGAATTTAATTAATTTACTAAAGTAAACACAAATATAAAATTATTATTTTCCTATCTGAATGTGGTGGATAATGACTGATACTAAAAGAATTTCGTAGTTTATCAATGTCTTTAATTAAATTAATTTTACACAATGTTTCTGTAAGATGTATTATTACTGACGATTTTATCTCCGTCCATAAAGAAAGTCATTCCTCCAGGACAGATTGGGCTATAGACTGGACAGCTACAATCAAGCATGAGGTTTTCCCCCACTGATAATGCCACATGTACTTTCTCTATTCTGGAAATTTCCATACTTGAATTGCTAAGTATGTTATTGTTGCTTGATATAAAAATGGTTACTTCATAATTACGTTTTATCCAGTGAGGTTTTTTGTAGAGATCTCGAGCTTGTAATCACTTTATGGTGCTTGTGTCAAATGTGATCGAGTACCTCTTTATTAAAAAATATCCATACCTATGTGGCGAATTCATCCAAAAAAATCCTTTACGGGTATTTCGCCACTGCACTGCATAGGTCTACAAATAAAGTCAGTTATTTTTAAACACAGTAGTTAATTTAATGGACATTGCTTGTCGTAGTTGCGTTACAGTTATACAAATTCTTGCCGAACAAAGAAAAATGCTTAACGTTTCAGAAAGCCCATCTCTTCCGTCGTCGAAAAGCAAAAAACAAATAAATAAAGAAAAAACTAAAATATTTAAATTCAAACTATTATGAGAACACTTTTAGTTTTTTTAAACAGATGTCTACAAGAAACCGTTGACGTTCTTTTGGACATTTTTTTTGTTTGCGTCCGACAACGGAAAGAGATAGACTTTCCGGAAACGTTAAGCATTTTTTCTTTTGTTAGGCAAATTTGTATAACTGTAAATTGCTAACTTCTGGACAAGCAGGTCCGTTTAGGTTTAACGCAGAAATGTTTACAAAAAAATAACTATTTTATTTTGTAGAGTTTGTGTTTTATTCTCTTGCAGTGCAGTGATGAAATACCCATAAAGGATTTTTTTTTTTTTTTGTTTATTGTTTCATCTCTTTATGTATGTTTTTTTTAATGGAACACCCTGCATATTATTTTTATTCTATTTGTCTTAATATGAGCTTTCTAAAAATATATATTTATGACACTCATACAGGGTTCAGGGTGCAGTTAAAAGGTGGTAGATCTCGATAAAAGAAACATATTTTCTCTTTTATCGTTTTTTCATGGCAAGTCCAAATAACAGAGTTATTTTACTCTGAAAATTTCCAAAAAAATGATTTTGCTAAAATTTTGAGAACCACTGGATCTTTTCTGGATTTTTTCTTTCTTTAAATTTAATCTAATACCTATGTTGCTATATTATCAAATTATGTTTTGTAACTAAAAAAATTTCGAAAAATTTTTCAAAAAAATTTCGAACTTTCAAATTTTTGTTCGCGAAAAAAAAAAACTCATAGGCGTGTTTCTGGGGCTGAACTATACAACCAGTTAAAATACTTGCACTTATTTCTGGAACACCCTGTATACTCATTCATAAATAAAGTAAAAAAAAATCTTTATTTAACTTTTTAACATCAATCAACCTAGTTTAAAAAAAAGTAATATTATTTTATTTTATTTAATTTAACCGGATAAATTTTGCTTTCCGTCATGTTTTTTATATTATTCTAAAATTACTGAGCTTATCTACAAGAGCAAGCCATTCACACATGACGCTTATCTATTGATGACCGGTGCAGTTTTAAATGAACTCGTGCAGCTTTTAGCTAACACCCAAGTTATTGATATTTGATGATTCCATTTAAAAAAAACATAAGTTTGGGTGATATTTCACGAATTTACAGCTTCCAGAGCTGAAAATCTAGTTACGCCACTAAGTTTTTTTGATTTTGAAATTCGCCCTGTATTTCAAAAACCATGGAGGTTTGGACAAATCTTTAGTTTGATAAAAAGGTAGTACAGTGATGTGGAAACTGCATCTTTGAATCTCTACTCATAATCGAAAAACGAAAAACCCTATAAAACAAACGAAAATGGGACATCCTGTACAGGGTGGGTCAAATTGGACTCTTTTAAATGGAAATACCCTTTTCTATAGGAGATAGACAAAAACTAATATCGGTGTCTTACGGGGTGTTTTTCAAAAAAATGCATTTTTAACAAATCGCTGTAACTTTTTTGCTATGGAAAATTTTGTATTTCTATGAAAACATTTCCAAAGCACCTTTTTACGTAGAATTTAATGGTTTAAGTATATTTTTTTTTAAATTAATAATTTAAGAATTATCAACAGAAAATTTGATTTTTTATATGGGGACATCCTGTATATTTTAATTTATTGAAAAGAAATTACCTTTCCAAAAATATAACACACTTGATATTTTGCTCGATTCCTCTTCGAGATATAGAGTATATAAAAATTCGCCCGCTTTAAATAAGTAGGCTTTGACGGCACCGGCTGTAATGCAAAAAAATTCTCGCTGAGAGCATCAATTAAAACGAAAATAATATTTGCTAGGAGAGATGCAGAATTTTATAACAATTTAAAATATATTTAACCAACATCAATACATTTAAACTATCTAATAACAATAAAAATAAATAGCAAACCAAGATATGATATTTTGTTACAGGTGTTCGACATATCGACCTCTATTGTTATGGACAGACGGGGCAGTTTTTGAACATTTCTCGCGGAATTTATTAACTCAGTAGGGGATACCCTCTTATAACTGCTAGGTATTTCTAATTCTTGTCTAGATTATACGGAAGAAAAAGGAACCTTTATTCTTGCGCATATATATCCATAGGATTAGATCCATGGGCACTAAGTCAGGCGGCCTCGACGGCCAACGGCTGGGATCTTGGTTAGCTATTCAATTATTCTTGAAATTGGCTGCAAAAATTTGCTGATAACTTCAGCGTTCAGAGGCGGTTATAAAATATGTTTTCGAGTTCCATTAAGGGCATATCATCAATAAGGGGTCCAGAGCCTACTAGTTAAAATGGCGAACTTTTAAAAATTCTGTATTTCGAAGTGGATTATAACAAAATATCAAGTGTGCTATATTTTTGGAAAGGTAATTTTAAATTCTTCACAGTTAATTAAAAATATAAAGGGTGTCCCAAATAAAAAAATCAATTTTTCTGTCTGTCCCAAAAAAAAATATACTTAAACCATTAAATTCTACGTAAAAAGGTGTTTTGGAAATGTTTTCATAGAAATACAAAATTTTCCATAGTAAAAAAGTTACAGCGATTTGTTAAAAATGCACATTTTTGAAAAAAAAACCGTAACTCCGAAACGGTAACAGATATTGATGTGCGGTTTTTAACATCATGTTTTTGATGAAAATTGAGCTCCAGACACCGATTTTAGTTTTCGTCCATCTCCTATAGAAAAGAGTGTTTCCATTTAAAAGCGTCGAATTTGATCCACCCTGTACATTTAGAGGAAGTTTTGACTCTTACGACTCATAGCATTCACATACCACATACCAGGTATCTTGTGAATCTTTAGCAATCATCAACCAGACTGAAGTGTCCACTGCTGGACGTAGGCCTCCCTCAAATATTTCCACTCTTCTCGGTCCTGTGCCACTTGGATCCAGTTTTCCCTAAATCTATTGTGATCGGCTAAGTGATCTGACCATCTTGTCGGAGGTCTGCCTCTGTTTCTGAGAGCATCCTGTCTTGGCCGCCATTCTAGTATTAGCTTGGTCCATCTATCGTCCGTTCTTCTAGCAATATGCCCAGCCCAGTTCCATTTAAGTTTTTTAAGCAGATATACAGCATCTGTTATTCGTGTACGCTGTTTTATAACTGTATTGGGTATCTTGTCTCTTCTGCTCAATCGTTCGTTTGAAAAGCATTGATTGCCTGATTTGTTAGCAAATTCGAATGTTTCACATTTTGGAATCCCGTGAAATTGGCTGCTTCAATGCAATTGTCTACTCAATCGTTCGTTTGAAAAGCTTGATTGCCTGATTTGTTAGTAGAGATACACCAAGCATTGCTCTTTCCATAGCTCGTTGGGCTATACGGATTTTTTCTATGGACTTTTTCGTCAGTGTCTCTGCGCCATATGTAAGTACTGGCATAACGCACTGATGGAACACCTTCCTCTTTAAGCACATTGGTAAAATCTTTAGCAATGCATGTATGGAAATTTCTAGTACCAATAAAATATTACAAACAACGGTATTTAGATACCATCCTCAGTACACAGCCACACGCTTTACGGCACCCAATAGCGATACAAGCGAAAGCCTTGCTCTAGTAGATAAACTCAGTGGTTTTAGGATTTAGATAACTTTACACGTGAAATATTTGTGTAAATTGAAATATATAAAGACATTAGAAGTTCGAAATTCTTTAAAGATCAATGTGATATTTAATTCATTCTCAACGAATGTCCCGTTGTAACTTACCACTGATGGACGATCTACAATAAATTAAAACAAATAATTGTTTTGAGAAAAAATAATTATATTTACAAAATAATATACTGTTCCAACTCAACATCGATCTAAAAATGTGCTTAATTAATTTTATAAACCGTACTAAAAGTTAAACTAAAAAATAATGCTTTCGACACAAATTAAACGTATAATTCTCTAACAACGTCATTATAGAAAAACATATGATAACATCGTCATTATAGAAAAATAGATAAACATAACATCGTCATTATACAAAAATTGATTTTTTTACATACACATTTTCAATTTCATTTTGGTATATTTTGTGTTAATACATTTTTACAAAATAAAATGTTTTTTGACAAAAAATATCGATTACAACCTAGCCCCACCGATGAACTGTGATACAGTGAAACCAAGAACAGTTAACCTAATAGGACTGCTCATTCAGCCGAAAGAGTCTGCCAGGTGCATGCGAAAACTCCTCGCTTTGTGACGTCA